GGACGCGTCCCAGGCTGGGGGGCAGGCGTGAGGGCTGCGCGACGTGGGCCGCCCACGGCACCTGCCACGGACGAGCCCCCAGCCCTCTCCCCGGGGCGGGTCACGGCTCCTGCTTCTGCCCTGCAGCCTTGGGATCACTCCGACAAGCCAACCTCACCCTCCCCGGGAACCAGGGCCAGCGCTGCCATGTGACTGTGGAGCCCACCTCCCGCTGCCCCTGTCCCCGAGTGCATCCCCCACGTGGCCTGAGGGGCCTGTGGGCTCCTGCTCCCCCAGGCTGTGACTCCATGTGTGGAGAATATATGGCTTCGGGTCTCATCGGCCCACTATCCAATGCTGCCAGGGTTGGGCCCACTATCCCCCTACCCCGCAGCGGGACGCCCACCCTAACAGGGTGACAAGGAGTAGATTTAAACCCAAGACCCTCCCTGACCCACTGGCCCACAGGTCAACAGCCAGCCACAGCCCGCACTTCTTTTTTTTTTTTTAAGATTTTATTTATTTATTTGATAGACGGAGATCACAGGCAGGCAGAGAGGCGGAAGCAGGCTCCCTGCTGGGCAGAGAGCCCGACGTGGGGCTTGATCCCAGGACCCCAAGATCACGACCCGAGCTGAAGGCAGAGGTTTTAACCCCCTGAGCCACCCAGGCGCCCCTCACAGCCCGCACTTCTGCCCCCCTCAGCCTGCGCTCCCAGTGCCAGATCGCTGCATGCCCACCGGAGTTCCACCATCCACGACACGTGGCCTGGCTGAAGCCCCCCCGGGGCTGCCCGTGTGGCCGCCCACAGCTGCTTGCTCGTCCTCAGCATTTCGAGCCACGGCAGCTGGGAACCGAGGCTCAGCAGGGGACAGGGACTCTCCGGACACTCCGGGAAGGGGAGGCACAGCCAACTGAGGTCCAGCCCCAGCCTGCCTTGCTCTGGAGGGACTGTTGTGCCCACTGCCTTCCGAAGAGGGACAGCCCCCTCCCCAGACAAAACTGCCCAAAAGAAGAGACAAGATTGCCCACAAGGCAGGGAGCTGCAGACATCACTGTCCCCCCCCACCAACGCAGTGCAAGCCCCTGCCTACGGGGTCCCTGAAGTCATCTGCCCCACGTGGGCCCCGGGACCCCCTCCTCTGCCTCACCCTGGGTCCCAGCCCCTCTCCACCCTCTTCTCTGCTGGCCGCCAGCTTGGCCAAGCGGCTTTTTGCCCTTGTGGGGGACTTCCTGGCAGGGCTCCCCGCTGCCCACCGTGCCTCATCCTGCTGGTGGGAGCCAGCTGGGCCCAATTCTGCAGGGGTGGCAAGGCTGGGGCTCGGTTGGGGGCCAGCAGAGGACGTGTCCTCAGCCTGGAAATCACAGCACCGACAGCTCCCGGCCTGAGGGAGTCGGGGGATGGAAACGGCCGGTACAAGCCGACTGGAGAATCCAGCACCAGGGCCACTTGCGAGATGCTCCGTGGGTGCCCCGCCCCGGCCCCCTGCGGTTCTGGGGTCATAAGTCTGAAATACAGGTGGGGCCGGCCACATGGCCCGCTGGGATCCAGGGGAGCCTCCTTCCTGCCCCACCAGCCCCTGCTGAGGCCAGAGGTCCTTGGCTCCCCACCCCCCACCCCCAGCTGCAGACGCGGGCACAGCTCCGATCTCCGTCCCACTCACGATCGCCTTCACGTCCTTAGGACGCCTGTCACTGGGTCTGCTGTCCAACCTCGTCTATGCCCATGACCACTGTGAACACCCTGCTTTCAAATGAGGTCCCGTCCCCAGGTCCCAGGATTTAGGAGCTGCTGTCTTTGTTTGTAACACACTTCAACCCCCAGGAGCCACCCAGCGTCTCCCCCCACCCCCTATTATCCTTCGGTCAACTGGACCCGGGGTCCCTCTGCGGCTGACCAGGATCTAACAGAACGTTCTATTCTCTCCTCCCACGACACTCCTGACACCAAGTGTGGGGCTGCCTGGGGTCAGAGCTGACCCCACAGGCTCGGGGCTCTGCCCCACACACCTGCCCCCATCCCAAGTCCAAGCCTCCTACACTTCCGACTGACTGGTTTTCAAACTGGGGCTCCCAGCAGCCCTCCTTGGGGTCAATAATTTGATAGAACAGCTCATGGGTTATCTAATTCCTAGATTATCTGCTGATTATAAAGGACCTCACTCTGGAACAGCCAGGCAGAAGAGGAGTGCAGGGCAAGGTGTTGGGGAGGTGTTAACAAACTTACCCATTTTCAGCGGCGGGAAGCACACTCACCCTGTCCTGAGGCCACCCCCACCCTCTATCTCCAGAACTTTCCATCTCCCCACACGGAGACTCTGTCCCCATGAATCATGGACTCCCCACCCCTGCCCCAGCCCTGGCTCCCACCCTCTCCTCTGTCTGTGTGGACGGGACTCCTCCTGGGAGTGGGGTCCTGCGGGACGTGTCCTTCTGGTCTGAGCCATGTCCTCGGAGTCCCTCTGCATCATGGCAGGGGTCAGTGTCCCCTCCTTTCTAAGGCGGAACACTACCAGGGTGTGGACGGCACTTTACGTCTCTCAATGAGTTTCATCTTCCAAACCAACCCCTGGGGCAGCTGATGCTGTTCTGCCCATTTCACGGAAGGGGACACTGAGCCACGGAGACGTGAAATGACTCGTGCGCAGCCATAGGGCGCTGGGTGAGAGCTGCGATTCCGGAACCCGGCAGCGAGGCTCTCGTCATGGCTGTGATGCCCGTGCCCGGCCCACGCTCCCTCTGCAGCTGGTGTCAGGGGAAGCGTGCTGGGAGAACCCGAGCCGCCCTGGGGACGCGCAGCGGCAGCCTCGTCCAGCTCCGACTCGGCTTCCAGCAGCTTCCATGCCTATGCTAACGCTACACGTCATGGCCACAGGGCCCTCCCCAGCTCCCGCTGGATCCTCACGGTGTCGGCGGTGGGAAGGAGGAATCCCCGCCAGGCCGCTCCTGGCCGCCTTCTGCAGGAGGCCGTAACCTGCCTGAGGTCACTCGGCAATCGGAGCTTTGCTCTGAGTCAAGCACAAGCTTGAAACGCTCGCCTCCCGCGAGCTTCACACACTGCAGGTCTGGCCCACTCCTGCCTGGTGGAGGAAGGCCATCCGTGGCTCCTGCGGTCCAGCCCCCAACCCACCCCAACAAACAGCCACAGTGACCCCCCCCACTCCGTGCAAGGCCCAACCAGATGGCGGAGAGCCCGCTGTGCGCAGCTGCCCAGGGGGCCACTCTCCTCGGGGCAGAAGAAGGAGGGCGGCCCAGCACTACTGCGCATCCCAGTCGCAGCCCTTAAAGAAGAGGAAACAGAGAATCAGCAAGCAGACCGCGTAGCCTCAAAGGGCAGGGGCAGGTGAATTGTTCAGTAAACCCACCGGGGCCTGAAGCCCCCTCTCCTCGGTGTGTCTGTCAGCTATGGACGTGTGACCCGGGACCGCCCACGCTGGCTGGAAACAGCGCCCCTGCTGTCCGGTCCCCGTGGTCAGGAGTCCAGGCGTGGCTCACCCGGGTCCTCTGCTTGGCGGGTCCGGGAGGTCGCGATCCAGGGGCCCCCAGAGCGGAGTCCTATCCGCCGGGGGAGGGGCTGCCTCCGGGACGCTCATGCAGGTGCTGGGCTTTACTCCTTGCTGGCCGCTCCCGGCCACCCGGGCCTCTGACCCGACAGCTCCTTACACCAGCGCCGGCCACGGAGAGCCTGCCGGCAGGACGGAAGCCACAGTCATACAGAGCCTGATGAGGGAAGTGACCTCCGTCACCTCGGCGGTGCTCTGTTGGCTAGAACCCACCACTGGGCCAGCCCGGTCTCAAGGGGCGACAGCAAGGGGCAGAGACCCACGGGGCCATCTCCGAGTCTGCGGGCCCAAGTCAGAGTAAGTAACAGTATCGGCCCCACAGGCTCTGCGAAAGGACACCAGCTCCTGCTGAGGACTGGCGCGGCCAGAGCCCCGACGAGGTGCCCTGTGACCCCCGAGTGGCTCCCCAGGCCCCCGAATCCTGGAATGAGGAACCCAGGGCTGGGCTGAGTGGAGCTGCCCAGATAACCCGGTAGGTAGGAGGGGCAGGGCTGAGCTGTTTCCAAAGCAAGGACACCCGCCGTTCCTCGGAGCAGGTGATGGCAACCTAGGCCTGCAGCATGGCGGGCCCCGCATACTGAGAGGGTGGGTGTAGGTCCCAAGTGAATTTCATTTTCCACCCAGTCTTAGACCAGCTGGACAGATAAGCAGTCCCTCCTCTCCAGTACCAGGACAGACACTGTCTCAGCCTCCCGCCAACGCCACCCAGTGCCCGCCACGGTGCCTAAAACGTGCGAGGCCAGCTCAGCACCGGCCGGGTGGAGCCATCTACCCATCCCTGGGGCCCCCGGGGTCTGGAGGCCAGCGGATCCCACACACTGCGCCCAGCCCGCTGCTCTCTGCAGCGTGACCCAGGCGGACTTGCGGCTCAGTCATCCTAAAGGACCTGAAGGCCAGGTGCCGCGTGCGGGGCAGACCAGGTCCTGGGCAGACAGACCAGCTGCAAAGGACCATCAGGGACATGGAGGAGACCTGAAAGCTGAAGTCTACTGAAATGCTAAAACCTGATGTTATGAACCAGTAAGAGAGTAAAAGGAATAAATATCATGGGAAGTCAGCTCTCTTGTTTTTTTTTTTTTAAATAAAGTAAAAAGAAATGACAAACAAGGAGAAATGTGGCTCAGGGTGTATGGAACGAGACAATGAAAGGACGGCTGGCGGCGGCAGGGGCGACAGGGCACCGTTCCCGCCCCTTCTGAGCAGATGGGGTGGCCCCTGCGCGGGGGCCTGAAGACGGCCGTGGAGCCTGTGTGCGGCCTGGCAGCACCAGAGGCGGCACAAAGGGGCAAAAAACCCTTCCAACTTCACCCTGGCTGCCTGGAAACTTCTGGTTCCTCACGAAGAAGTGAGACCAGCTGAACCCCAAGATCAGGGCCCCCGTGATGCCCTCTTTTGCCCCACGAGCGCAGGGGCAGGAGCAGAGGGACAGACACAGTCGGACACAGCCACGGCCATGGGCGCACAAAGAGCCGCGTGTCGGGAGCGGGCCTTTATTTCCCTTCGGCTCGCAGGAGACACATGCAGGAGGGTACAGCAGGGCTCGCAGAGCGGGGAGGGTGGCTCCCAGCCCAGCCCCGGGGCCAGGCCGAGGCACAGTCAGGACAGCTCTGCCAGACCCCACAGCCGGTCCTCCAGTCCTGGCCGGTCCCCCTGCCTGGTCCCTCCCTGCTCTCAGCCCAGGACGGCCTGTCTGGAGAACGCCTCTCAGTCTAGAGGGGTTGCACCGGCGGCTTGCTTAACCTGACCGCCGCCCAGACGCACGATGTGGTGCAGCCTGAACTCAGGCCCTTCCCTGGGGGCTCGACCCTGCTCGAGGGCGGCACCTAGTGGCGGGCGACAGCACCGCCCGCTGCAACAACTCAGCCCCTCGGGGCTCCAGGGCCACGGGGCTTTCTCCACCCGCGGGGCAGCGGGGGCTGGCCGGGCACTCAGGGGATACTGAGCCTTCACAGAGTGTCCTGGGGACGACGACTCCACGCGGGCTACTGTGAACCCTGACAGTCCAAAAGGCAGCACTGGAACGGGGATGGGAGCCAGACGGGCGCGGGGCGTGTCATCCGCATGCACGTGGCTGTGGGCGCTTCAGAAAGGAGCGTGGGGCTGCGCAGCGCCTCACCCTGTGCCCGGGGCTCCATGGGCTTCTGCACCAGGGCTCGGTGCCCGGCCACAGACACCCTCGGTGGCCCCTCCGCGGGCCCTGGTGCCAGCTCAGGGCCGAGGGGGCACAGTGAGGATAGGGGATGGGGACAGCAGGGCCAGAACCCGCCACCCCCGCAGCCCCCGCGGGAGCTGCCTCCCGCCTGGTGTCCAGCAGAGGCAACTGAGGCCCCGCCGGAGTGAGGCCGCTCCAAGCCCCAGGCCCTCTGCAAAGCGCCCGGCACAGGCCGGGCCCACGGAGGCCGCCCCCCACCGGCCAAGCGCTCGCAGAGCCCAGAGTTCCCCGGGTGATGCCGCCCCAGAAGCCCCCCAAGATGCCAGAGCCTCGGGACAGAGGAGCCGAGTGGCTTCAGGTTCCCGACCCCCCCGAGCGCGTCCCAGCCCAGCGCAACCAACTGCCCCCCGCCCCGCCCCGCCGCCCTAGCGGAGGCTGCACTCTACGCCCTGCAGCTTCTCCTGCTCCATGGCCCGCACCAGATCCTGCACGAAGCGCATCTCGGAGGCCACCTGCTTCGCCAGGGCCTCGTAGCGGTTCTCGAGGCGGCTGAAGCGGCGCTTGAGCCCGCTGGCCCCCAGCAGGGCGCCCTTGGCCTCCTCCTGGGCCTGCCGCTGCAGCGCCTCGGTCTTGTGCAGCTCCTGCCGCAGCCGCCGCAGGTCCTGGCCGATGCTCTCGTTCTCCTCCCGGTACCAGGCCTCCTTCTCCTCGTAGATGGCCGTCAGAGCCTCGATGTCCTCATGGCAGAGGCGCCGGCTGTGCTCCAGCCCCCGCAGGCCCTCCTCGGCCGCCGCCACCTCCTCCAGCACCTTGGAGAAGCGCTCAAAGTTGACGTAGGTGTTGTTGGGGGGCATGCTGGAGTGCGACTTGATGGTGTACTCCTTGAGCCGAGCTGTCTTCAGGCGCCGCCGCTCGGGCTTCCGGCCGCTGTCCTCGCGCCGCACATTCCGCCGCCGGATCGCCTGCAGGGAGAGAGACGGGCACCTGGAGTGGGGCCTCCGGGCCGGGCGGCCTCCGAGGGTCCCCCAGCCTCCCGCTAGGACGGCAGAGCTCAGTGGTCACGCCAGAGCCAGACCCTCTGGCCCTTTTCAGAAGGTGCCACTCCTGCCCATTCTGGAAGTTTCTGTGGGAGGGAGCCCAGCTATGTGCAGAGGGGGTAAAGAGCCAGCCCGGGCCTCCTAGGGGGTAGGGCTCCAATACCACCACGGCACACAGTGCACACCTGCTACCACCCAGGCCACGCGCTCTGGGGACCCTCCCGGGACAGAGACCTTGTCACACACACTGTCCTTGAGTGGGAGCTGCCCCAGCCACCTCACCTTGATCCAGGAATGCTCCAGGCTCTGGGCGATGGTCATTCTTCTCCTGGAAGAGCCCCCCGCCCCATGCCCTGGTTAGTGCTACGCAGGCCATGTGCCCTACTCTCCCACAAGGCTGATGGGGAGACAGGAACAGGGAAGGGATTTTCCAGATTCTCCTCCGCATCGCTGTTTTCCATCCCCACCTCAGACGACTCCCTACACACGGACCCCCCCGGGACTCCCCTTCAGCCTGGGGACATGTCCCCAAAATGCCCTTGAAACGACCTGTGCCCTCCAGCGTGTCTGCTCCGCTCAGCCAGCAAGGAGCCCATGAAGGGGCCAGTGGGGGCGCAGGCCCTGGGGTCTCCCGTGCTTTCTGAGGGGTTTTGTGAACGGCGGTGAGACCGAACGCTGGGTCTCGCCAACTCAGGCGCCCACAGGAGGGACCAGGCAGACGCCAGGAATGAGCGCCCATGCTGGGGGGCAACGCGAGCCCCTCACCATGAACGAGAGCTCCGTGACACCCCATGTTTTAGATTTCCCTGGGAGAAGTACCCAGAAATCTGGAATGTCACACGAAAACTATCTTAAACGTCAGCAAGGAATGAACGGCTCTGAAAGACACAGCGGGAGCCCGGCTAACCGTCTGTGCTGTCCCCAACTCCCAGTTACACAGAGGGGACAGCACGGAGAGACATGCTCGCGGGGGACCAGCTGGCCTTTCCTGCCAGCTCCCCCCGCCCCCGCCTGGCGTTCCTACTTGGGGTCTTTGACGAGCAGTCGGCGGATGAAGTCCTTGGCCAGCTCGCTGGTGTTGCTGAAGTATTCCTCGTCGAAGTCGTAGTTCACAGCCGAGATGTTGGTCAGGGTCTCCTGCTTCGTCTCACCCAGGAACGGGGAGGCGCCGCTCAGACTGGAAGGTGGACACAGGGCTCAGCATCCCCGGCGCTCGCTCCCTGCCACCTCGGGGCCCAGACGCAGAGGCAAGCGGAAGCTGGGCCCTGGGCTCCCTGATGCACCTGCATGCCCCCGGAACCTGCCCCAACCAGCCCCCAGCCTCCCACTGGAAAGCACGAGGACGTCACACTCAGACACTGATGGGCACAGAAGAGGGGACCAAAGTCTCTAACGAAGCTGGAAGCATCTGGGCCAAACGTTTAGCGATTCCAGAAGGAAAGCCGGCAACTTCCCAGGAGGGTGTCCAGGCCGACACCACGCCAGCCCCCGGGCAGGGTGCACGTCCCCAGCAGGACACAAGGACATCGTGTGCCATTCAGAGCTGCTGCGCTGGCAGGGCCGTGACACAGAGTGGGGAATACACTTCTGGTTCTCACCCCCGTCCTTGGACACGGAGCTCCCACGGGCCTCGTATTTTCTTTCTTTCTTTTTTTTTTTAAAGATTTTATTTATTTATTTGACAGAGATCACAAGTAGGCAGAGAGGCAGGCAGAGAGAGAGGAGGAAGCAGGCTCCCCGCTGAGCAGAGAGCCCGATGTGGGGCTCGATCCCAGGACCCTGGGATCATGATCTGAGCCGAAGGCAGAGGCTTTAACCCATGGAGTCACCCAGGCACTCTGGCCTTGTACTTTCTTAAATGCTAAAAACTCAGAAAGCGGCAGCATCTGTGAGGGTATCTGGTCTCTAGCCTCGGTTTCTTAGCATGGTGCTAAGGTGAGAAGAGCCCTTCGCCGTCCATCACAAGCCCCTTTCAACCTTTTAGAAGAGCGCAGATGCCCCGGGCTGGGGCCGGTGGCGAGCAGCATCCCTGGGGCTAGCAGGGTGAATCCACCCGCCCCACGCCTGACCTCTGGGGCAGGCAGAGGGGCTGGAGATGGAGCTCATCACCGACAATTCAATCACTTGGGCCTACACCACAGAACTTCCGTGAAATCCCTCGATGAAAGGGCTCTGAGTTTCCAGGCGGGGAACGCCTCCGCGTGTGGAGAAGAGAGCGCACCCCCAAGTCCATGGAGACAGAAGCTGCTGCGCTCGGAGCCCCCCAGACCTCGCCCTACACGCCTCATCAGGCCATCTGACCCGATCTGCGGCCTTCGTAACCAACTGGTACCAGTAAGCGGTCCTGAGTTCTGAGAGCCGCTCCAGCAGCTCTCCTGGCCGAGGGGGGTCACGGGGGCCTCTGCGCAGACACCCAGCCTGTGGCTGGCAGCGGAAGCGGGACAAGCCCTGAGCCACCTCCAGGCAGACGGGACCAGAACCGAGCGAAGATGGGCGCCTCGGTCCTGCGCGGGGTCCTGGACCACAAAGAGACAAGAGCGGGACAACCCCGGGAGTCTGCCTGCTGGTGGTGTCCTGGCGCATCTCTTGGAGTTGACAAACACTCTCTAAGGCACGAACGTCAGGGGAAGCTGGTGAGGGGCCCGGAAACGCTGCACGGTCTTTGCAGCTCCTCCCTAAGTCTAAACTTAACTCCGATCTTTAAAAACAAAAACTAACCGGAAACTATTTAAAAACCCAGCTCAAGAAACCTTCAGGGTGCATCGCCGAGCCACCTGACCTTGACAAGGGAAGAAAAAGCAGTGGGGAGGGGCGCCTGGGTGGCTCAGTGGGTTAAAGCCTCTGCCTTCAGCTCAGGTCATGATCCCAGGGTCCTGGGATCGAGCCCCACATCGGGCTCTCTGCTCAGCGGGGAGCCTGCTTCTTCCTCTCTCTCTGCCTGCCTCTCTGCCTACTTGTGATCTCTGTCAAATAAATAAATAAATTCTTAAAAAAAAAAAAAAATAGCAGTGGGGGCCTGTCTGACACGGGGACGGGAGTGAGGAACAGTCCAATCGTGGCGCCCCAGGGAATGAGGCCAGAGAAATCCCCACCGCACAGGGCAGGGCTCTTCAGGAGCCCGAGACAGGAACCGTCTTTCCCTCCTCCCCGAATTCATCCATCCTCCCACTCATCCTCCCACCTATCCTCCCGCCCAACCTCCCACCCATTCTCCCGCCCAACCTCCCGCCCAACCTCCCGCCCATCCTCCCGCCCAACCTCCCACCCATCCTCCCGCCCAACCTCCCGCCCAACATCCCGCCCAACCTCCCACCCATCCTCCCGCCCAACATCCCGCCCAACCTCCCACCCATCCTCCCACCCATCCTCCCGCCCATCCTCCCACCCACCCAGCCACCAAGTTCACGGAGCACTGCAGAGGGTCAGAGCTCCTGGTCCCTGTCCCTGCCCAGAAGGCGCTCTGACCCAGCAGGCCAGCGCGCACAGGAGGCACCAGGCAGGCCCGCGCGCACAGGAGGCACCCGGCAGGCCCGCGCGCACAGGAGGCACCCGGCAGGCCAGCGCGCACAGGAGGCACCCGGCAGGCCGCGCGCACAGGAGGCACCCGGCAGGCCCGCGCGCACAGGAGGCACCCGGCAGGCCGCGCGCACAGGAGGCACCCGGCAGGCCCGCGCGCACAGGAGGCACCCGGCAGGCCGCGCGCACAGGAGGCACCCGGCAGGCCCAGCGCGCACGGGAGGCACCCGGCAGGCCCGCGCGCACGGGAGGCACCAGCAGACACTCACAGGATGTAGGTGATGACGCCAATGCTCCTGGAGGAGACGCACAAGAAAAGAACGGTCAGCTCCATGGTGTGGGGTGGGGAGCACCCCAATTCCCGAATCTCTAACTGGCCGGGGGTCTGGAGCCCGGCGGGGGAACCAAGAGGCCATGGCCTGCTCTCCTTCCAGGGCCTGTACGGCCTCTGCTAAGGGCCTCCCTGCCTTGGCTCCGGGGGTCTTGGGATGGGGCACTCGCCCTGGACAGGCCACACCCACCTATCAAAGCTCCAACCAGACAGGGGTGGGGCTGGGGCCGCTGCGGGGCTCTGATGCCCGCTGCACTCGAAGGGAGGCTGGCGAACCCTTCCTACAAAGGGTGGGAAGGCGACTGTTTCTTGCTCTGTGGGTCCCAGTCTCTGTTACTTGTCTGTGTTAACAACACCTTAAAAGGGGCGCCTGGGGATCTCAGTTAAATGTCTGCCTTCGTCAGGTGGTGATCGCAGGGTCCTGGGATAAAGCCCTGCATCGGGCTCCCTGCTCAGCGGGGAGTCTGCTTCTCCCTCTGCCGCTCCCCCTGCTTGTGCTCTCCCTCTCTCCCTCCCTCTCTCTCTGTCAAATAATAAATAAAATCTTTAAGAAACACAGACCACCTGAAAACCAGAACGCTATTCTGAGCTCACGAAGCGGCTCTAGCTCATGGGTCCCTGTTCTAAGGCAATGATGGGTCCTGCCCACACCCAACAGCACCCAACCAGGCGGATGGACCACATCCCAGCCTGCGGCTACATCCTGGCAGCTCCCACGATGGCCAGGGGACTCCCTAAGGAGTAATGGGGCTACATGCCAGGCAGCCTGGCCCCACCACCCCCCGCCACTCACCACATGTCTGCCTCCAGACCCAGGGGCTCATAGTTGACAATCTCCGGAGCTGCAGGGACAGGGAGACGGAGGGGCAGGGTCAGACGCTGGCACGTGGGAGGCAGCTAGGGGGACACAGTCACGGGGAGAGGCACAGCCCACCTGGGGGGAGGGGCAGGGTGGCTCCAGGGCAGGAAGGCCTGGCTGCCACCTGCGGGACACCAGGACTCAAGAGAGGACACCGGGGCGTGTGGGCCAGACACCCAGGGGCCTGGGATCCTCAAACACCCCATAAACCCCGCCCAAGGCGCCGCGTAGAGCCGCACCCACGAACTCGGGGGTGCCGAAGATGTTCTTGAACTCATTCCCCGCCTCGATCTTGTGGGCGATGCCGAAGTCAATGAGCTTGATCCGCGGGTTGGGCACGTTCTTGTCCAGCAGCATGATGTTTTCTGGCTGCGGGTGAAGCGGGACTCAGTGGCTCTGCCGGCCCAGCGTCCCCGGGACAGCCCCGGATCGCCCCCAGGACCCCCCAGAGGTCACCGGCCCGCGCTCAGCGCCGTAAAGGCCGGACCGGCTCCCTAGACCCTCCACCCCACCGGGGCCCGCCCACCTTGAGGTCGAAGTGGGCAATGCGCTTGGAGTGCAGGTAGTGGACGCCGTCCAGGATCTGCTTGAGGAACTGCGTGGCCTCGTCCTCTGTCAGCGACTCCTTCTCGGCCAGGAAGTCGAAGAGCTCCCCGCCCGAGACCAGCTCCAGGATGAGCACCACGTCCGTCTTGTTCTCGAAGATGTCGTGCAGCGTGATGATGTTGGGGTGCCGGATCTCCCGCAGGATATTGACCTCCCGCTCGATCTCCTCCCGGCTGACCCCCCGCCGGCTGGACGACAGGCGACGCTTCTTGATGAACTTGGCCGCGTACTCCTTGCCGGTGCCCTTCTGCCGGCACTTCCGCACGATGGCAAACTGGCCGCTGCGGGGACAGAGCGGCGAGCGGGGCTTCGCAGGGGCCGCGGCTTCGGGGACAGCACCTCCCAGCACCCACCCCAGCCCCGGGAGGTCAGGCGGCAGGTGAGCCGCTGGGTGGGTCCAAAGCAGCCCTGGCAGCTCTGCCCGGCTGAGAGCAGGGAAGCGGCCGCGCGTTCACGGACGGGAACCGAGTTCCTCCCGGGGCTGGTGGGACCCCACGCGGCCCGCAGCTGCCAGGAAGTGTTGCTCACGTGCAGCGGGCCGGGGGCGGGGCGGGGCACCCCACTCACCATCTGCTCGGAGGAGGGGGCTGAGCGGTGGGGCGTAATTCTACACTGATTCGGTTTTCCACAGTCTATTTCATCATATTTAAAAACCTAAGAGGGGCGCCTGGGTGGCTCAGTGGGTTAAGCCTCTGCCTTCGGCTCAGGTCATGATCTCAGGGTCCTGGGATCGAGCCCCGCATTGGGCTCTCTGCTCAGCGGGGAGCCTGCTTCCTCCTCTCGCTCTGCCTGCCTCACTGCCTACTTGTGATCTCTGTCAAATAAATAAATAAAAATCTTTAAAAATAAATAAAATAAAAGCCTGAGAAAAAAATTTAAAAGTCGCTAACTTCAAAGGGGCTTCTCATGCAACTGGCCGCGTAAGAGCAACACACGTTTTCGAACTGACGGGGCCAGAGCCCGCGCCCATGGAAACAGAAGCTCAGACACCATTTCCGCACGCCTCTGCAAGTCCTTCCAGTGTCCACACAAGAGAAATGGCAACAGAAATCCACAGGGAAGCTTCTACGAAAATCCTCAGTCAGCACGATCCCCAGCAGCCTCAAGGGGGAAACAGCCAGACGGCCACCGACAGACAAATACAACGTGTCCCCCGTGTGTAGGAGCGTCCCTCAGCCACAGACAGGAGCGAGGCCCCCACGCGCTGCCCCGGGGACGGACCCCAAGCCCACGACGTGCAGGGAGGGAACCAGACACAGATGGCCACGCGGGGTGTGAGTCCACGTGGGTGACACGCCCAGACCAGGTTCCTCCAGGGATGGGAAGGAGCTCGTAGGAGCCGGGGACTGGGGGAGGGGAGGTGACAGCTAATGGGGATGGGACTGCTTTTGGGTGATGGAATGTTCTGCAATTATTCAGGGTGACAAGAGCAAAACCTTGTACACACACTCAAGATCACTGACTTGCAGGCTGTAAATGGGTGAACCGTGCAGCACGTGGACGAGAGCTCAAGACACCGGTGATTGAAGAGAAATCCTATTTACTGCGCTCTAGGGAGCTGTCCGATGTCCAAGTTCCTCTGCTGTCCAGGAACTTAGTTGTATTAACTGACTGTAACTCAAGAGCTGGCTGAAAAAGGCCAGACAGTAAATATTTTTAGCCTTATGGGCCATGTGGTTTCTGTCATATTTTTTGTGTGTTTTTACAACCTTTTAAAAAAATAAAAAGGCATTCGAGGTTCAGAGGCAGACAGGCCCACACTGGGCTGGGGCCGGATTTGCCCCCAGGCCACAGATCTGCTGACTCCACGGGGACCAAGTGTAAGACAAGGCACAGGCTCCTGACGGAGACCTCAAGGTGCCACCGGGGGTCCAGAGAAGAGACACGTGACATCTCGGGGAAACGAGGGGGAGGGCGCAGAGGATAGAGACAGGCGGGCTGTTGGCAAAGGGACCTAGCGGGGTTTGCTGCTAAGTGGACGGACCCACATGCCCACGGAGATGTGCTCTACCCACGCTCGGTCGGAAGACAGGGCACATTGAAGCTGGGCAGGTGGGAGGCGGAAAATCATCACTAACACCATGGGCTCAGCCAAGTACCCTCCAAGATGCCCGTCGGGGAACCCAGAACCTGTCCACAGACCTCCGCTCCTGGTAAAAGGGCCCTTGTAGCTGGATAAAGTCAAGCCTCGGAGTGGGGGTGACCCTGGGTTCCCGGGGGCCCCAGCATCCTCACGAGGTCTTCACGAGAGGGAGGCAAAGGGTGGGAGTCCCAGAGATGGGCAGACCCCCCGCTGCTGGCGCGAAGGATGGAGGGGCGCTCCCTGGGGCCTTGGGGGAGCAGCCCTACAGGTCTGTTTTAGACTCCAGGCTCCCAGACCTTTCACGTAATTCACATCCCTCTAGGCCGCTGAACTGTGGTGATCAGGGACAGCAGTGACAGGAGACTCAAACGCTAACCCAAAAGCCAAGCGCATAGGCCTGCCCAGAACAGCAGCGTCCCTGGTCAGGTCCAGCCCCCCTGCCTCCTGAACCTGCCGCGACAGTCCCCCGGACACGTTGCGCTCCTGCCCCCTCCAGTCTCCACGAACTCTGCCCCACCCGCAACGCCTTCCCCTCTCTTCTGCCTGCACCAGCCAAGCTCCTTCTTCCAGGCCCACGTCCGGTCCCACAACAAATCCCCGATGGGAATGACACCGAATTCCAAACGTTCACCTTGCGCCAACGGCGCTGGGCTAAGTGCTGACGTGGGGCCTCGTTTTCAAATGTAAGGACCGTTTTCCCCGCTTGATTCCAAGCTGAACTGACAGACAAAGAGGAGTGAGGCAGGGCTCACAGGAACAGGCAAAAAGATGCCATTACAGGCCGAACTGGGTCCCCCCAAAATCCGTGCCGAAGTCAAACCCCAGCTCCTCAGAGCGGGTCTATCCGGAGTCAGGGCCTTCAGGAGGTGATTCCGTCCAAGTGAGCTCACAGGCATGGGCCGGATCCAATCTGACCCGTGTCCTCAGAAGAGCAGAGTAGGACACACAGACGCAGACAGACAGCCTTGTAAGGCTACGGGGAGAAGACGGTCATCAGCTGCACGCCAAGGACAGGCACCTCAGGAGAAGTCAGCCCCGCCGACACCTTGAGCTTGGACCTCCCGCCTCTAGGCCTGGGAGAGCAAGCACTTGTGCTGTTCAAAGCCGCCTCCCACCCCCCACCTCTACCCCCCCTGCCGCCGCCCACAGTACTCAGCTGTGGCAGCCCAAGTCCACACAGAGGCACACGCCACTCCATGAAGCAGAAGCCAGAGCAGAGCCCACCCTTGCCGACCCCCAGACTGACATTTCCCGACACCATCGGTGCGAAGCTGAACCAGAAGAAAGAATCCTGCACCTCTGGGTCCCAGCATACCCGGCTTCGCGGCCAGCAGGGCTCGGTGTCAAGGCCGGAATCCCACGCGGCCATGAGGCAAGCTGCTCCCCTCCTCTCGGCCTCTGCTTCTCTGTAAGACTGAGGGCCAGCGCACCTGCCTTGCAGATCCCTTCGCAGGTGAACGGAAGTTACAGAAAGATGGAAGTCGGGACGAGCAAACGACACCTCTAACTCATGCAAACTGCGGCCGGCGCGCGGTGTCCTCAGATCTCCCAGCGCGCTGAGGGTCGTCGGATGGAGCCGTGCCGTCCAAGACGACAGCCACCGGCCACGCCGCGGCCCGCACGCCAGTCCGAACCGAGACGCGCTGGGCGTGTGTATCACAACCAGGTTAAAGAGGCTTCCTATCCAGAAAAGGCGGTAAATTTTTCCACCTGTGATTTTTGTTATGATTACAAGCAAGGTGGTAACTGTCCAATCCATTGGGTTAAATTAAACATATTAATTATTAAAATGGACCCAGCTACTTCTGAGGCGGCGAACATTATACGGGCTGCTGCCTGGCTCGTTGGGATGACTGCGTGGTACTCCAGAGAGGCAGTGGGGCTGGGAGGACCACTGACGAGGCTTCCCGTACAATCCTTACAATGATTACAGCAGCCCCGCTCTCAGGTCACCGAGTCTGCCCGTGTACACATTCCCGCGGAATCAATTCCTAACGGTGGGATCGGGGGATGAAGGAGAACATACAGGGGACACTTGGCTGACTCTGGCCAAGCCACCCTCAGCGGGAGGACCTAACGCATTTCCAAGAATAAAACGCGAGGTTGGGGGAGGGAGGTTAGGGAGAAGGAGTGGGGGTACGTTCTCTACAACTCTATGAAGGAAATTCCTGAAGGAGGGACTTCAGAATCCCAAATGAGCCTGAAACACTTTCTCAGCCCAGGCGTGAGGCACGACTCAGTTACTTACATTCCATTTTGGTGACATCATGGGGCTGGTAGCTCTGAACTCAACCAAATAAGGTCTGAGGCTGCGGGGGCGGGAGGGGAAGGATGGCGCCCAGCTAATCTGAGAGCCTGTTCTTGGGGGACACTCGAGGCCCCGCCAGACAGGAAATCAGCTGCCGGGCTGGAACGGGAAACCTCCGCTCTTTCCCACAAGAATGCTAAACTGTTGGCAGGAACGTGGGTCGGGATAGGAGGCTTCTCCTACAAACGTGCGTGAAAATCCATCGCCTCTCCCGAGAGAGGATTAAACGGAAGGACAGACCAACAGACACTGACTGCCACCACCACAGCGCTCACGCCACAGGGCAGGAACTCTGGCAGGTGCTCCGAGCACTCAATTCGACTCTTCCCCAAAGGAAACGCACAGAGAAGGTCAGAGTCACAATGAGGGGACAGGGCCACCTGACCCCAATGCCTACACTCCTCGGGCCAGCACATGCCACTGACTCCTTCCCTCCTGGAGAGGAGGATGAAGGACCGGCGGGGACACTCTCCGGAAACCCCACAGCGCCCCTCTCCCACCCCCGGAGCCCCAGCGGCCAGTCCCGCTCACCTGCCCAGCTCCTCCCCCATCTCATAGTAGTCCTCCACGTCTTCCTGCCTGAACGTGGACATGGTGGGCGATCTGCCTTCCGAGGTCTTCCCTCGCTCGAGGCTGGAGACAGGACCTCAGGGCGTCCCCTCGCTGTGACCCTGGAGGAGAAAGGGAAATAGGGAAGAAGTGAGACGTCAGCTACTACTCTTAGCTGCATGGCGCGACCTCCCAACCCCCACCCTGCCCCCAGACGAAGTTCCAGCTCCTCATAAAGGGCACATGCATGCGGACGGCCGGTCTGTTCCTGTTATCTCCCCTGGAAATCACACCACCTGCAAGGTCGCTGCCAGCCCCACTGTGCCCGCTTGGCCCCAAAACTGTCCCAGGCCCACACCTCTGACTCCCCACACACTGTCCCAGCCCTTCTCTGACTCTCCCCACCCACATTCCTGCAAGTCACCGCCACCCCCCCGCGGCTCTGCACACCCCCAAACCCCGGGGCTCCCTCAGGCCGGTCCAACTTGCTAAGTCGTTGCACCCACACCCCCACCTCCCTGCCCACCGGCGACCTGAACGCCTCCTGTCCTCACCCATTACCCCCACAAGCCCCCGACCTCCGCACATCTCTTAACACCCTCCTCAGCGCTGCGCTCAATTCCTCCGGGAGCTGAACAATGGCTTCCAAGCGCCCGCCAGCGCCCTACCCACGGCCGCCTCCCCCTGACCTCCGCCGTCCGGCAACACTAACCGCTTCCCCGCTCCTCCATGGCACCCCTGCAGAGGCCCGCACCCCGTCTCCCCAACCCGCAAAGGGTCGCATCTCAGAGTCTCCTCCATTGCCCTCTCCCCGACTTCGGTCAAGCTCCGGGTGCACCCCGATGGCCCCCCTACAGGCCCCTCCAGGGATCCCCAAGCCCCAGAGTCCGGGTTCGAGCGTCCCCAAGGCCGCCACGCCCCTCGCAAGCCCCGACCCAGCCCCTTCTCCTGACGGCTCGTCCCAGAGGTCTCCGAGCGTCCCCCCGCGCCCCCGAATCGCCGCCTCTGCCTACCCCGCCCGCCGTCAGCCAAGGGTCCAGCCCGCTTCGCACCGTCCGCGGCCCCGCGGCCCCGCGCCCCCGCCGGCCCTCTGCCGCGCTGGCCACCGCCACCCTCTCCAGCCCCGCCGCCTCGGCCGCCGGGACGCGCCGACCTGCGTCGACGTCATCGCGTCAGCAAGGGCCCGCCCCCTGAAGGCGGACCCAGCCGCCCATTGGTCTGCGCCCCCGCCACTCGCGACGCCCCGCCCCCGGCCTGCTCCAGGCCCAGCCCGCTGGCGTCCGGTCCTCCGAATCCAGATGATGTATCGCCACTGGCCGGCAGGCTCGCCTTCATGCCGCCGATTGGTTGGAACGGACGTCACTTAGGACGACACCTAGGAAGTCGGAAGACCGACTTCCGGCCCCTGGACGGCGCAGGTCCTGGGGCCGCGGGGTGCGGTGCCGAACTGCAGCGTCCTTCTTCCTGCCCTCCCTGAGCGCGAGCTATGGCCGCTCCCTGCGGTGGAGCCGGGACAAGTTTAGTCCCTGAACTGCAGTATCCCCCTCTAAAATGTTACCCCCATTCCCAGTGCATCAGTAAAAATGCAGGTGAGGTCAGGTGTTGCCACGCGGCCTTGATTCTTCCGACTCGTGTCGTCTCGGGACACCGGCTCAAACAGCTGGTCAGTATGGACCAGCCCGCCGTTGCAGGGGAGCTGTTACCATTCCTGCGGTTCTGCAGATGGGGACGCTGAGACCCAGAGAGGTTAAGCAGCCCACCCGAAGTCACACAGCCAGTTAATGGCGCAGCTCAGGTTCATTCCCAGGAAGCCGCGAACCCAAAGCCAGTGCTGAACCACTGCAGATACCATCGGACGGCAGACCTGGCTTGACTTTCGCCACCTACCCTGACCTCTCGCCGTTCTCCCGAGCTCACCTGCCTGCCTTCTGACTTCGGAACATTGCACTCCCACCCAGGTGTTTGCACGACCTGTCCCTTCAGCCTGGAGATCGCCTTCCTCCGTTCTTGCTTCAGGCCCCTCCTCCAGGAGCCGTTGCACTGGTAATTAAGTACATCTTACATTAGATGGCATCATCCCGTCTGACGTCAGTATGGAAAACTTGTCACAACAAACGAACCCACAGTAATGCACCAGCACAACCAAGTCCATTCTTCAGATTTGTTCTCCCCAACATCCTTTTCCTGCCCCACAGTTCCATCCAGAATCCCATCTATTTTGTCCTTGTGGTGCTTTTGGTTGTTTCGCAGACTTTCCTTTTTTGATGACTTTGACAGTGTCAAGGAGGACTGGTCAAGTATTTTGTATAATGTCTCTCAACTGGTTGTCTCTTTTTTTCCTCCATAGACTGGGGTGATGGGTTTTAGGGAGGAAGGCCAAAACCCTTCTCAAGACACCATATCACAGGTCCAGACTATGAACATGACATTGCCGTTCACACTGACCTTGGTCACCTGGTTCCAGGTAGGATCTGCTGTCAGGTTTCACCAGAATACTTTTCCCGCCCCTTCCCATACAGCATTTTTTGGAAAAAGTCACTTGTACATAGCCCACACTTAGTGAGTTGGAAAATCATTTTTCTTGGCGGGGTGGGGGGAAACCTGACAAACTAACATTAGACTTGGCTATATGGCATTTTCTCAGAAACAAATCCAATCTGTCACTTCAAGGAAAACAATTGACAGGATTTGTTGCCAATGGTAAATTTTAGCTTTTAAGGGGAAAAAAAATGCAAATACTTCACTTCCTTGTTGAAATTGTTAACCAATGGGAGTATTCGATGTTTTTTTTTTTAATGAGATGTGTCACCATCTGAAAGAGCACCAAACTTGATATACCAGTATTTCCAAGGGACCAATGCAGGTTACAAAAAGGACGCCTTCAAAGTGCAAGTGGGGCCAAGGGAGTTTAATAGTAATAAAAAATTCATTAATATGGTCTCAGATCCCACATTATAATTATTCTTTAAAAAAAATTACTTGTCAGGGTGCCTGGGTGGCTCAGTGGGTTAAAGCCTCTGCCTTCAGCTCAGGTCATGATCCCAGGGTCCTGGGATCGAGCCCCACATCAGATTCTCTGCTCAGTGGGGAGCCTGCTTCCTCCTCTCTGCCTGCCTCTCTGCCTACTTGTGATCTCTGTCAAATAAAATCTTTAAAAAAAAAAAATTACTGGGGCGCCTGGGTGGCTCAGTGGGTTAAAGCCTCTGCCTTCAGCTCAGGTCATGATCCCAGGATTCTGGGATCGAGCCCCGCATCGGGCTCTCTGCTCAGCGGGGAGCCTGCTTCCTCCTCTCTCTCTGCCTGCCTCTCTGCCTACTTGTGATCTGTCAAATAAATAAATAAAAAAAAAAATCTTTAAAAAAAAAAATTACTTGTCGAGTTTTGATGTTCTATCAAAAAGCCACAATTACCCAGTAACAATTTTTAAAGCGCTTTGCTTGTCCACACACGGGAAGGAATGAAGCTGGCTTGTCTCCATAGACTACAACCAAAACCACATTATCACCATAAATAACACAGCAGGTTCGTGAATCTGGCTGTCTCAGATTAAGACTGACATTTAGGAGATTTACAAAAAGCCTACTATTCTTCTAATTTTTGTTGCACTTTTCTTCATAAAGATGTTAACACATAGGGCGCCTGGGTGGCTCAGTCGGTTAAGTGCCTGCCTTCAGCTCAGGTCATGACCTCAGGGTCCTGAGTCCCACATTGGACTCCTCCCGCTCTGTGGGGAGCCTGATTCTCCCTCTCTGCCTGCCACCCTTGCTTGGACTGCCAAGTAAGTTCTAAAAATCTTTAAAATAATGTTAACATATAATGGGTTCACCATTAAAACATTTTTAAATCTCTCAATTTTACTTTCTAAACATGGCAAATATCAGCAGATAAAACCCATTTAAACAAAAAGGGTCTTTCTGGGGTCCTTGATGATTAAGAATGTGCTGGTGTCCAGAGACTAAGAAAGGGTAGTATTGGCCTAGAGACGAGGCTAACACAATCGGTCAAAGTAAACAAATTACATGTGGAGTGCGACACACACACGGGGCCTTGTAACACACTGCCGCTGGGGGTAGGCACAGACTGACGTCGTCAGGACAGCCCTGCCCAACGGTATCCTTTTGAATTTTACAACTGAAAACGCACACAGAGATGCTGTGATAAGCCAAATTCCCCAAATGACTATGAATTCAGAATCGAAAACTTAGAATAGTTCCATCTTCATCTTCTCAATTTACACTCTTTTAACAAAATTACTAGACTTTAAAAATGCACTAAACGCAATGTGGCATCCTGGACTGGCTCCTTGAAACCGTGACTTTAATGCAGAAAAGCAAGTGAATGGTCACTGAGCATTACCTTTGTAACATCTTCGCGACTCTTCTGCAAATATAGTCGGAAGTGCTTATAAAAGTGCAAAAAATGTGTGTGCGTGGCAAGCAATGCCAGGATTTGAAATAAGAATATTTTCCAACGTGAAAGACGCGGAGGATGGGAGACTTTGCAGGGTCAACCTGCAGGTGGGCAGAGCTGTCCAGTGCCTCTGGGACACCCATCACCCAGCCTCCTGCCTTCTCAATGCGAACGGGGTTCCTTAAGCTGGTGAACACCCGATGTCCCCCACAAATTTCCCAAACCGCTGCCACCGCAGCACGTCACTGTTGAAGCCACGCGTTCTGGTGGTCATTTATCCAAGTAAGAGGAAGACGGACTGAGTACAGAGGTTTTGTCCTACGTGAGGTCTAGGGTTAAACGTTTAAGATTAAAATAAAAATCTACTAGGTATATGTGCCACTTTTAACTTTTCTGAATAACCCATCTGGCTGGCGAAGACAACTTGCCTGGCAGGTGGCTTTCTTCTGCGGTTTTCCCTCGCTGGGCAGTTAAGTCCACAGGAGCAGACCGGGCAGAACTGTCCGGCCAGCAGCACTCGCGCGGCGGCCCCAGCACCACCAGACCAGAAGCGCACTCACACGCAAGCTTACACACGCGGTCCCTGGCTGCGGAGAGCTCGCTTCGAGCACTGAGCAGCCCCACGGCCCAGCGGTCACCACTCCGCAGAGTCCGGGTAAGAGGCCCCGTCACACCGGGTAGCCCCCTGGGCCGGAAGGGCAGACAGCGGATGCGCCTCCGTACCTGGGCCTGGCATCCAAGGATACTTCAAGATTGAGTTGAACCTTTTGTATTTCAGTATCACCAACGGTGGGGACACTGGCCCAGGGTGGCCCGCTGCAGCCTGACCTGACCAAGGACGAAGTCACATGGACACACACAGTCACCACTGTATCAAATTTATTATTCCAATGGCACAAATACAGCTGGAGGTGCTCACGGTGACACCGCACCAAGTTTCCTGCCTTCTAGCTTCTGTCCAAAGAGAAAGGTCTACCCGCTTGTTCCTTCCCCCTTTCTTTGGGAAAATCCACTACGGGCCATTTACCCAAATAAACCTCTTAATGCGTTTTTTTGTGTGTTGGGTTTTTTTTTTTTTTTTGGACATTTAGGTTTCTGAAATGGAAAAAAGTGTTGAATGTCCCATCCCGCCTCCCCCACCCACACCGGCCAAGTAAGTCCCTGCTGCCAGGGCGTCTCTGCGGCCTCTGAAATCTTGGAATAAATATCTAGAGGAACGGCATCAGGCGTTCACGCAGAGTGATGGCACTGAGTGGGCCCCAGAACCTGTCAGGTGGAGCGTCCCCGTCTGGACAGTCTCGAGGTGTCATGGAGAATGCGAGGGCTTGTTGCTGTGGTCGGTCGTCAGCCGGTGCAGGGGCTGTGCGGAGTCCCACCCGGGGTGGTGGGCTGCAGGGACGGCTGCCTACAATTTGTCCAGGAAGTTGTCCAGGGCCGGGATGCCTTCCTTCAGGCCTTTGCGCTTGCGTGTTTCGGCCACCACCTGGCTGGGGCGGCTGGTGTTGTCGAAGGGATCCCCGGGCAGGATCTGCCAGTGGTCAAAAACGCACTGGGGGAAGGCCTGGCCGCCAGTGTTGGACCTCAGGTCAGCAGTGAAGCCTGTGGGGAGGCACAGGGCTCATGAGCCAGCTCAGGAGACGTGTCCCCACCACC